CGATCAATTTTTGGTAGTGTCACGTTACGCCAATCAGTTTCAAAGTGTAGGTGTAATGCATGGAGTTTCACTTCGACTTCTATCTGCTGTGGTTCTCAGATGATTCTTCCATTTGCATATACCAAGTCGTTTTAATATATCGTACTCAACTCAATGATACCTCTGTCTATATATATATCTATATATGAAATATTAAATTAATAGTTTGCTTTGTTAAATTTATATATATATATTCATTTTAATGCAAAGCATCGAAAACCACGCTTCGAAGTTGTGTATGTGTGTTCATTTTCTCACAATTCTAAGAATAGACATGTAAGATAATTTTATTATTTTTTGTTAGGTCACTACTGTATAGAAAGAAAGTGTACAAACCAAGTTTTCAGTTCTGCGTAAATTTATTGGTTTTTCTTTTTATACATTTTCGTCATTATTTCTACTGGTTTCCCAGTCCCATTTCAACAGTTCGATCGGACACAAATCTATAGTAGCTGCGTCCATCGATTTTAATGGTATGTCTTCATATAGAATAGCACAAATACCCGTTTCATTCTCCAGCTTCTTGATTATATTGCGAACTGTTGCCTAAAATACGTGGACGGCTTTTGCCGCTGATCTTTGTGTTTGTGAATTCCCATCTGTACAAGATGACTCACCTTTCTTACCACGGAATACAATTTTTTGCAGGTCTCTTTTTGGATGGTCCTGATGCTTCAAGTTGATCCACCTTAGTTTTCCAATGTCATTAATTACAAGGATTATCCCCGTTTTGGAAACTATAAATTCCCGACCTGAACACATTCTTTTGATCTTAGTTTATTTATATTTTTCGGAAAGGGTTGTTACATACCTTTCCAAAAATCGATCAGTTTTCCATAGCATCCCACTACACATGAAACGATAAACAATGATAAAATGTAGTTGTCATGTCGCTTGCTGTATTGCTTATTCAAAATCGGTTCGATATATTTTACTGAACATTTTATATATGGTCCTTTAATATTATACGGTTTGAATAAAGAAATCATGCTAATAATATCAGTGATAATTTAAATGTAAATTCTATTGAGTATAGAAGAAGCATGTATTCCACGCAAAGTTCGAAGTATCCGAAAGGTGCGACGTAAAAATATATTTTAAGAAGATTTTTGTTTGTTTGTTTTTGAAGTTAAGCACAAAGCTACACAATGAGCTATCTGTTCTCTGCCCCCACAACGGGTATCGAAACCCGGTTTCTAGCGTTGTAAGTACGCAGACATACCGCTGTGCCAGTGGGGGGCGTTTTACGAGGAACTTTTCGATACATAAAAATATAGTATTTAGAGTGATTCCCATCCTTCTACTGTGTGGTGTCACAGTAATCGATGTTTCATATAACACAATTACTTAAACTTTATTGCATAGTTTCTCGTTGATACATAAAAATATAGTATTTAGAGTGATTCCATCCTTCTACTGTGTGTTGTCACAGTAATCGATGTTTCATATAACACAATTACTTAACTTTATTGCATAGTTTCTCGTTGATACATAAAAATATAGTATTTAGAGTGATTCCTATCCTTCTACTGTGTGTTGTCACAGTAATCGATGTTTCATATAACACAATTACTTAACTTTATTGCATAGTTTCTCGTTGATTCGTTTTTTTTTTGTTTTTGTTTTTTTACCTTGATTTCTGTTCAAGATTTTGTTGGATTATTAATACGTTTAGTCTGGTGTTCCTACAAAGATAATTAATTAAATGGCGTAAAGTTTTGAGAAGGTATAGCAGCTTTTCGTTAGGCGTCGCCAGCTTTAGTTAAACATTTAAATATTACGCTTTATAGTTTGTTTGCTTAAACACATAGTCATTCCCAATTTCAGGTGCAATGAATCAAGACTAGGAAACAACTTACAGTTTATGGAGTTTTCAAAGTGTAGATTGAATGGTAAATATAAGCGTGAACAATGTTAAAATTTGTTTTTTTTTAATAAGTTAATACAATGATAGTGAAGTAATATAAAAAGGTGGCTATAAAATGTTAAACGTCACTTCACACTTTTGTTTCATTATACTATTATTCTGGAAAAATCACTTAGAAGGGAAAACTCTGGTTTAAACTTTTTTATGGGAGTTTATGTCTGCAGAAGGTTTCAGAACGCAAACAAAAGTTAGCGTGAAATATAAACATAAACATGGCGTATTCTTTTGCATATTATGAATCTGAAAGAATATACTATCATCCTGTTTTATCTACAACCATCCAACTCTTCAGGGGCTCAGGGATAAGGTTGAGAGTGAATAACGCTAAAATTGTGGGTTTGATCCACGAGGGTGGATAGAGTACAAATAGTACATTGTGTAATTTTATGCTTACGTACAACACATAAATAAATCAAATTATAACTATCGTATAACTTACGACTTGTTTAAACTATTAATATAGTTTGTTTCATTTCCTGTAGCTATTTTGTTTCCATTACATAGATGCTTCTTGGTCGCTGATACATATTCTTGATGTCGTCGCACTTTAATCTAGGGCGAACAATTTTTGACATCTTGTGGCATTTAATATATTTCCGAAAGAAAAAGTAATGCACAAACGAGATCAAAGCGTTCCTTTCTACTCAGCAAATCAAACACTTTTGATACCTTCTGTCAGGTATTTTTTTACTTGTTTGTTTTAGAGCAAAGTCACATTGGGCGATCTGCTGTGTCCACCGCAGGGAATCGAACCCAGGATGTTAGCATTGTAAATCCCCAAAATTACCTCTAACTCACCGGTGAAACCTTTTGTTAGAATACTTTCTAAGTGTTTTAATATGATATTCTACAATAACATAAATATGTTTAATGATAAATTTGATAGAAAATTGTCACTACAATAGTGAAATTGGATTGACAAAAAATCGGACTTGTTTTGGGGATGTATTCTTTGCACTAGAATTTGTGTGAGTTGTTTTTGAGGGCTGTAGTATCACTCACTACTGCCCCCCACAGTGGCACAGCGGTATGTCTGCAGACTTACAACGCTAGAATTCGGGTTTCGACACCCGTGGTGGGCAGATAACAGATAGCCCATTGTGTAGCTTGGTGCTTAATTACAAACAAACAAACACTCACTACTGAGTGTTTAATAACACTAAATTATCTAGATACTAGAATACAACCTTTGACATACGCAAGTTTCTAAGGTGAATATAGCTTGAAGATATCAGCATGACTGTATTGAAATTGATACGTTTCATTCAGGAAGAAGTACATATCAAACTGGGTTGTTACTTACTTCCTTACGCCTAAAGATGAAAAGGTAATTTACACATTCTCAGAAATGGCTGAAGGATATTGTTTCATTTATACAAAACGGTATTTTATAAATATTTGCAATATATTACATAGTCTGAATTCAACCACTAGCCAAATAATTGTGTATATTTATTAAATATTTCACTTCTCATTTTTGTATATTTTGGCATTTGAGAATGTTGCATAATGAAGTACATATAATATCAATGATTATGTGAAGTTCATTATATTTCTATTATACTGATGTTTCTTCCTGACTTAGACTGATTAAGATTTCTTTTGGCAAATCCTTCCAAACCCTTTAGTATAGAAGACTAGCTGGTAATGAGAAAATAAAACCTCAGTAACATTCTTTGCATATCAAATTTACCGAAAGAACAAACCAATTTGTTGTGTAAAAAGTAATTTTTCCATGTGTATCATTACGTATACTAAAACATTATGACCTTAAAGTAATATAAAACACCACTTTTATCGAACTTTTGTAACAATAATTCTTATCTCTTTAAATACCTATAGAATGATAGGTTTCTTTTTTGTGAGTGTAAAACACTTAATATACACCAGTTCGATGTTCGATACCTTACTACTATAAAGGCGTGGTTTGGTCTGATATTTCATTGGTGGTAGTGTCCAGGGTCACTGATGAGGAGTGGAATTCCA